TCCGGGCAGTGTTGCAGTCTGGTGTACTGTGCGTTGCTATGACTCTGGGGACAGTGTGAACTAGCTCTCTCCTTTGATGGCAAGGAGACAGCTAAGGGTGTCTAGGCCTGGGAAGGTTTACAGTCTTGGAGACCCACAGGGGCAGGTCTGCTGTGCCCTAGAAGGCCTCTGAGTCGGGATTGATTGGATGGCAGTGAGTCTGGAGTTTGGTTGGCTGTGTAACAGAAGAAATAAAATACAGTTAGAAAATACAATGTAGGTAGTCTGCATTGGTGACAGGAACTTATTCTTCGAGGCCCAAGGAACCCCAGTTTACCCTATACCTGGTTTAGAGGTATTGAAACTTAAAGATACATACAAAAATATGGAAGCACTCATCTGTGCCAAAAAAAATTGAAAGGTAGGTATCTGACCAACCAACTGGAAGAGATCCCTAATGTACCCATTCCAAAGAAAGGCAACCCACAGAATTGACCATTATTATTGATATCAGATGCAAGTAAACTTCTACCAAAGATAATTCAACAACAGTTGCGGTAGTCCAGAAGGGCACTGCCAGAAATGCAAACTAGTTAAGAAGAAGATGTGGCATTAGGGAAACCATTGCTGAGAGCATATAGATCTTGGCTAAAAGCAAGAGAATATGTGGAAGATGTTTTATTGTGTTTTATTGACTATGCAAAGGCATTCGACTGTGTGGATCATATGGGATAGCCATGGGAATTCTAGAACACTTCATTCTGTTCGTGTGGAACCAGTACATGGGCGTAGAGGCAGTCATTTGACCAGACAAGGAAATACCACATGGTTTAAAATCAGGAAAGGTATATATTAGGGTTATATCCTTTCATCATACTTATTCAATGTATATGCTGAGCCAAAAAAAATCTGAGAAGCTGAACTGTATATGAAGATCACTGCATCAGGCTTGGAGGAAAGCTTATGAACAACCTTTGATAGGCAAATAAGCACTTGCTGCTGGGAGCTAAAGACTGCAGGCTTCAGTATGGATTATAACTCGATGAAAAGAAAGCCAACATCTTCACAACTGGACCAATAAGCAGCACTGTGATTAACAGAAAATATTGAAGTCAAGGGTTCCATTTTGCTTGCTTCCACAATCGGTGGTGTGGGAGCAGCCATCAAGAAATCAAACGGCATATTGCATTGGTCAAGTCTGTTATACAAGACCTCTTTAAAGTAATGACGATCAATGATGGCACTTTGAGGTCTGATGCAAGCCAGAGTATTTTCAGTCGCCTCATATACATGCTGGTGAACGCTGGACCATAAGGAAGACCAAAGGAGAATCGATGCATTTGAATTATGTGAAGAGAACAAAAAATACGGGGGCTTCCAGAGGAGCCCTGGTGGCACAGTAGTTACAAGCTGGGCTGTGATCTGCAAGGTCAGTAGTTCAAAACCACCAGCTGTTCCACTGGAGAAAGGCAGAGTTTTCTACTCCTATAAAGAGTTTCAGTCTCAGAAACTCACAGGGACAGTTCTATCCTGTCCTATTTATTGGGTTGCTATGAGTTAGCACTGTCTCAATGGCATTGAGTTTGGTTTGGTTTTTGGCCAAAGCTTCAAGAAAAACAAGTCTGTCTTAGAAGTATAAATATAATGCTCCTTAGAAGCAAGGATGTCCCCTAGAAGAATTTATTTCAGAGGACAGCACTGAAGCTGCAGCTCAGGGAGAGGGACATGTCTGATCAGAACACATGGGAGGAATTGAAGGGGGAGGAAGAGAGTGGAGCACATCCTGGCCCACCAAGCCTTGAGGAAAATATTCCC